CAGACCAATAAAACTGAATTTTATTCTTAAAGAATGGGGTGTTTCTAAATGCCTGCAGGGCTGGGTGGTTTTTGCTGTTTGGGAATGACAGGTGTTTGTTTGTTTTTTTTCTGGAGCTGGGAATAGCAGGTTTTGACAAGACCTAGAAAAGAAAAGGGGGAAGGCTTTCCTCCCCCCTTACCTGTACCACACCTTATCATTCCATGAGCTCTTGTACTGTGCAGTTCAAAGTGTACAAATCAAGATAATCGAGGTTTTTTTAGTCATTTTGTTCATTTGGGATGAGCAAAGCAGCAGCTTTCAGTTCCTAAATAATTCTGTAAGATCATTCTCACTCCCAAATACACAAATAAATTCTTATGCAAATGCATTTCTTTGCAATTCAAATCTGAAATAAAAATAGTTTCCTAAATCATAGATATATATGCTATAAAAGTATATTGAAATAAGAGAAGGTTAGAAAAATTCCAAACGAGAACAGTATGATAAAGAGGATATACATAAACCACAGAATTTCATTTAAGTTGTGGGGGGAGAGGTTTGCAAAGAGTGGAAAAAATGAAATCAAAATTTCCCAGATCTACCGTTTATCACATTCACTTTTTATGCATTATCTAACATCAGATAAAATATACATTTTAATAATAGTGATACTCTTGGGAGGGGTGTAAAATTCAAATACCAGCAATGCTCAGTTTTTAGTCAGAAGTTGGGTCTGACTAAAAACCAAAACTCATCAGCATTTTCACATTTATTTTTGCTCAGGTTTTTTTGGAAGGGTGCTATGTGTGTTGAGTGAACCCAATTATGTTTTTTTTAAAGCATAGTAAAATGTGAAAAGAACAGAAAAAGCTTCTAGTTTGCCAAATATACAGTTACCACTGTATATTTTAAAATCCAGACAGATTTTAAATGTCTAGGCTAAACCCTTTAAATACTTTAAAGAAAATATATCCAACTTGTTGGCTGTAAACTCTTTTCCTTTTCATTTATACAGATTTAAAGATCCTTTATCTAGCAACTAGTGAATGTTGCTAGTCACATAGAGTTACATATTTTGCATCAGTTTGCAAAACATGTAACTATGTTATCTACAGCTGTTTCTTCTGCTACATTTGGCTCAGTTTTCAGGACTCTTAAGCTCTTGATTAGGTGGGCAGCTATAATGGATGGAACCATTAAAATCTCCATTAAAAACTTAAAACGAGGTGGTACCATAAATCATTGCAGTTGCACAGGAAGAGAGGAAATGACTCTTGTCATCATTTTCTGATTTCTCTTTGTCTTTTTGGAATCCAGAAATGAATCACTGGCCTCCTCCCTATCACCACATCTTGCAACGTTGAGTTGCAAGGAAATAACTGGGAAACCCCAACCTCCTGATTCCAGAGACAGCAGGGGAGAATCTTGGTTGCCTTCCCGTACATGAAAGGGGGAGAGTTTTACAAATTTCATACCAGGCAATGAAGCAGCTCTGGCAAAAAAATTAACCCAAAATAGAAGTTCACTTTGTTAGCCTTTCAATCATAGTTTTTCAGATTTGCCTCTTTCTTTATAATGTGCATCTGAATATTGGTTTAGGTTTGGCAGTGGGTAAAGTAATGTGACTTGTTCTTGGCTTTCCTTGAGGTAGCCTGGATTCTTGGTTTTTTTTTTTAATAATCAGTTTGACTTCAAAGACAGTTTGATGAACAAGCAACAGTGCTGAACGTTTCATTGACTTATTTCTACAGCATACACTGCTGTTGAATATGCCTGTTCCAGGTAATTGGCAAACTAGTTTTCAGTCCAGGACAAACAAATTTGTAAAATTCAGTTAAATTATGCATTCGGTACCTGGGTGGCTTATTCGTCTTTGACATTGATGTTATTATAAGATGTAGAATAGAGATATTTATCTAACAGTTAATATTTTTTAGCAATTATGCTACCCCAAATTGTCTACTGCATCTCATCTGACTCCTGTTTCTTTAAAATTTTACTCTTGGCCTGGCATACTTGGCAGCACATTCCCACTTTGTTTAGCAGTTGCCCCAGTGATGACAGGACCCCTGCATGCTTCTGCCTAGTCTTTGGCCAGCATGCTGGGAAACGGATTGAGCTTTTGTCTTCAAGGCTCCCACTTGGCAAATTTAGCCACCAAACATGGTTCTCAATTGCTGCAGCTGGCACAGCCCTGCAGTTAATTCCCGATTCACTTTGGAACATTTTGGGAGGAGTCCTGTGTAGTACATACACAGACAGAAACATGAATTAATTCAATCTAAGGTATGTTCATTTTTCTCCCTGATAAGTAGGTACAAATAAAACTAGAGAGGATTGACAATTTGCTTTTCTAAGAAATTAAAAGCAGATTCATATCAAATGGTAGCAATATCTCCCTTGGACGCTGTGTGTGTGCGTGTGTGCGTGCAGGTACATGTCTGTGCACCCGCCCTTGAGCCTTGATTCCTGGTGACTACCTGGACAAATCCCTGCAGTCTTCTTGGCAAGATTTCAGAAATGATTTGCCCTTGCCAGGACTAAGAGAGAGGGACTGGCCCAAGGTTACCCAGCTGGCTTCATGCCTAAGGCGGAACTCAACAGTCTCCTAATTTTAACCACTAAACTTTAACCGCTATGCAAAACTGGCCCATCCTGGAAACTCTAGGCATCCCTGAAATAGGAATAGGTAATTTATAGCCCAATAGATATAATTTAACTTCAACTCCAAGTTATGTGGGCTGGAACTGCTGGGAATTGGTTAGACATAATCGGGTGGATCAATGCTACCTATCTTTGCATTACTCACTATATTCATGAGTGCAGAAATTCTTGCTCCAGAAGTGCAAACAGCCTTTTGAGCATCCTTCCAAATATGTTGCTGCTATATTCTAGCTGTCATTGTTACGATGCTACCTACTCTGCAATTTGTCTAGAGATTAGGCCAATTAGCAGGTCTTCTCAGTGGGCAGCATTAGTCTGCAATACTGTATTCTAATCACTGTTAGTGTTATGCCATAAATCACCACACTCATTCCTGGCCTTTGGAAAGGCACCCCAAATATTTTTCAATAGGCTAATTCAGTGATGACTGGGTGGCTTCCTAATATTTTGTTTTGAAGTTATTTTAGCTAAAGGTGGAAGCTATGCTTTGGGGAATATTAACATCTGATTTTAAGGTACGTAAGTGTGTACTACAATAGTTTGCATGCATCTATTCATCAAACTTTAGGCAGCTTACAATCTCGGGAGCATTACAACACTATTACATCATAAAACCATAATAAGTTACCCATAGTATTTATTTATTAAATTTCTGTATCACCTAATTGCTGTCCTTTATTAAATATCTTCCTTTCCAAAAGTCCTATTAAAAATGACTCTGTTTTCACTATTATTCTAAGAAATAAGAGGGCAAGAATTAATCCATCCTCAAAATATAAGCTGTTCTATACTGAAGGGGTTGCTATTGAAAATTACATCCTCTGGGCAAATAAATAAAATCACAGTACTGTGTAACAAAGAAGTAAGTTACTCCGTGCATGGGAAGTAACTATATTAAACAGCTTAGTTAACAGTGTAATTTGAACGAAACCAAATATACAAATTCCTTGCTCACCTCTTTATTCTGACTTCATTTATGTATTGGAGAGCAGCCTCTTGCCATGACACTCCAAGGCCAATTTGATCTTAGCACACTTCCTTCTGTATTTGCATGAGCAAAGAAGTGCATTAAATTGCAGTACTCTACTAGGCTGTATCAAAAGCAAAGATACGCTTTAGCTATAAGAGGAGGAAACAGTATTTATATCTGAACTGTATTTTACTGACCTAGTAAACTTTATTCCGTACTACACAATACAGTTAATATCATTTTAGGAAATGTTTTTGGTCACTCTTCCCCTTGCCAAATATATAAATTGTGTATATATGTATGTACACACACACAAACACACATGCAGTACTGTGCAAAAGTCTTAGGTGGCTATTAGATTTGTTATTTTAGCAAAGTTTTAAGGGCCACCCATAATTATTTTTCGGTATTCAATGTCACATCTTGAATATCTAGTTGGTTGATTTCCCTTTCAGAGTGGCGTTGGCTGATGCAAAAGTATGACTTTATGCCTGTCAAAGTCTGTGATCTTTGGCATTTTGACTGGAACGATATGATTGAAAGTTGGTCTTAATAGCAAGCTTCCAAGAAATAACATTCATACAACATGTAAAATGCTCAAGCATGTCTTGCACAAACCTGGTGTAATAGACCTTTTTGCATTGCAGTCACTTTGGCACACTAGTAGTAGGATACAGAGGTGTTGGCAATGGTTGTTCTTAGGGTTCCATTCCATTTAGGTTTATAGGAGTCAGGTGTCTGCCAGTATCAAGTGTAGTGGGAGGGCATATTAAATACTTGCCACTTTGGCCTATGGAAGCTGCTTTTTCTACTTTTTCCTGTTTTTGAATGCTGCACACATATTTCCTGTGTTTTCTGGTTATATTCTAATAAGGAGACTATGACATAATTATATATGGACATTATACCATTGCTACAACAACAAAACTAATGGTGGCCTAAGATTTCTGCACAAGTCTTTCTCTCTCTCCCTCTCTCCCTCCCTCCCTCCCTGTGTGTGTGTATACATTGCTTTGAGGCTAAGCATCCATTGAATTGTTAATGTTTTGTCCTAATATTTATCTGTTAAAGGTGGAGGTTTTTGTATGTGTCTAATTGTAACTAAGTAAAATCTTCAAGTCAACTTCAACTTCTCAAAGCTTTTTTCTTTTCATTTATACATGTAATTATTTTGCCAACAATATAACTAAATAGTTGGATATTGCAACCTTTTAGGATGCTTTTCAACTTCCCAGCCCTGAAACCTTCTGATGGCCTCTCATTCATGGAGAGCCCCTGCTTAGCTTTTTAAAGATCAGCCACGTTTCATCATTTGCTGCATTATTTTTTTTCAGTGTTTCTCCTTCCCCATTCTGCTCTTTGATAAGTATTTCTCCTCTCCTAGATTGCATGTATCATCATACTGATCTGCTATGGGGCATCCTGGTCATATGCCTACACAGGTTTGGCGATCTTCATGCTGATTTACTGCATCGTCCTGTTTATCATCTTCATGTTAGGATTACACCTCCAATTGACTTTCGTTCACTGGGGATGGACGGTAAGTTTTGGTTCTGTGGTAAACCCTGGGGTGGGGGAGGGATTCTTATGTCTCTCTCTCTCTATATATATATATTATTTATTTAACAATACGTCTAGCACCCATCCCTTGATCCATAATGACTCTGCAACATTATTAAAATAATAACACTCAACCATGATAGTCCCCCAAAGCAAGCTATGGAGCAACCTCTTTAAAAAATAAGAAGGAATGGTGCCATCTGTCCTGCTGGAGCAAGGTGATCCATAATGTGGATCTACCCTCAGGAAGGTCCATATCCCATGAACCTTGAGGGCGAAACACCTTCCGTAGGCCCTCCCTGGATACCTCGATTACATGGGCAGATTACATTTTGCAAGGCATTATATGATATAACTGACAGCTCAGAATGTGTGAATGCCTGTAAAAATTTCCACCTGTGAAGCCAGTCATATCCTGGCATTTGTGTAAAGTGGTCATGGGGAAGCATTTTTGCATTAATTTTCTTGTTATTGTCCTTTTTTTTTTTTTTGCATAATGATTCTATTATGCTGCTGGGGGACTCTGGGAGTTGAAATCCACAAGTCTTAAAGTTGCCAAGTTTAGACACCCCTGGTGTATATGAAGATGAGAATCTCAAGGCAATTATATTGACATTAGGGTACAGCATTGTACAGATCCAGTTTAGGATGTAAGATTACAATCTTACATTCACCTCTCTGCTCAAGGGATTGTGCTACAATTTAAAAAGGCATCACCCTAAGAACTTTTAATTAGTTTAAGTAGCTGATATATACTATATCATTTTATAAACTACCAACCACTATTAATGTCCAAATAATATTTGAATATCAACAGCAATCATCAGCCCAATATAAATCATAAAATATGAATTGCATTAATTTCTACCTGAGTAATGAAAGACCTGATGTTAAGAGGGATCCGAGTTTCAGATGTGGTGCGAGTATATATCGTTTAACCATGGTTTCCAAAGGGGATTTAATTCTGAGTAGGCATGTATAGTGGTTGGTTTTGTGCTCTGGCTAGATCCATTTAAAGCCTAATTTAGAGTCCACCAAGATTAATCTTTTTCTTGCTTCTCCAAAGACTTTTATCCGGGCTCTTATTGGAGCAGTGGCTTTTATCATCACCGCCATCGTTGTCCTTGTTAGCCGCCCAGATGGAGCAGGCATAGCTGGGGCGGTAAGTATCAAATCTGTTGGTGGGACAAATTTGTGGAGGGAGTGGAGAAAGGAAGCTGGAATGGTGACCTGGTAGGAATTTTAAAAATTCAAGAACGTGCATCAAACAAGGTGAGGCTTGCTTATTCTGGGATCGCATTAGCTGGAGAATGCTGTAGTAGCAAGGGTGGGAGTACCTTTGGGGTATTCCTCCCAAAACTACATTTCCCAGAATCAGTTGCCATTGCCCATGCTGGCTGAGACTGCTGGGAATTGCAGTTCAGCATTTTGGGGGGCTCACAGATTTTCACTGCTTCTTTTTTTTTTTTTTTAAATAGGACAATTAAAAAAGAACAGAATTCGGCAAGACATAGGAATCCGTTCACATCTTGCATTAATACAAAAAAATAACACAAAGGTTTATGCCAGTGTTACCAGTGAAGCAGGCTATTATAGTTTCTTTTTTAGTATATTGTTATTATTATGTCATACCATGATACAGTACATTGTTTAAATCCTATCATGGCAGAAGGTGGGAGTACCTGTACTCAAAGCATTGAAATAAAATGAGATTACAGGTCATCCACAACTTGCAACCACAACTGAGCCCAAAATTTCCATTGCTAAATAAGTCAAGTGAGTTGTTCCCCATTTCACAACCTTTTTGCACAGTTGTTAAGTAAATTGCTGCAGTTGTTAAGTGAATCTGGCTTTCCCCATTGGCTTAGCTTGTCGGAAGCCAGCTGGGAAGGTTACAAATGGTGATCACATGAGCCTGAGATGATGTAGCTGTCATACATTTATTTTATTTATTTATTTTATTTTATTTAAATTTGTATACCGCCCTTCTCCTGGTGGACTCAGTTGCCAAGTGCCCAAATTTTGATCATGTAACCATGGAAATGTGGCAATGGTTGCAAGGTTAAAAACGGTCAGAAGTTACTTAAGTGCCATTGTAACTTTGAACTGTCACTTAACAATGGGTTGTAAGTCGAGGACTACCTGTATATTACAAAATGTAGCTGCTACAATAATACCTTCTATCCGCAGATTGTTTCTGGCTCAAGATTTTATCATGCATTGCCTGCTTTACAATTTTATAGGAAGAATATAATACAAATACAAATACAATACAATACAATACAATAACAAATACAAATACAAATACAATACAATAACAAATACAAATACAAATATAAATACAATACAATACAATACAATACAAGAGTTGGAAGGGACCTTGGAGGTCTTCTAGTCCAACCCCCTGCTATGACAGGAAACCCTATACCATTTCAGACAAATGGTTGTCCAATCGCTTCTTAAAAACTTCCACTGTTGGAGCATTTACAACTTCTGGAGGCAAGTTGTTCCACTGATTAATTGTTCTCACTGTCAGAAGTTTCTCCCTAGTTCTAGGTTGCATCTGTCTTTGATTAGTTTCCATCCATTCCTTCTTGTCCTGCCTTCAGGTGCTTTGGAGAATAGCTTGACTTCCTCTTTTTTGTGGCAACCCCTGAAATATTGGAACACTGCTATCATGTCAGGTCCAGATAACTTCATTTGTTACATATAATTCTCAATTGTTTTCTCATTGCTTAATTAACTCCCAATGTATTTAATTGGTAGCACTACGAGTTGTGCATCTAGAAAAACTTGCAGCCTACCAAATATGATTGGGGGTGGAAAAATCCTGAGTCCCCAAACTAAACTTGTCTTGTTTTTCAATAGGTGGTTTCAATTCTGACTGGAATCCTCTTTGGCTACGATGCATACACCATCTTGCCTACTCTCAGGAAATCCCATGCACCAGCTCCTTCCGGTAGGTCTTCTGGGGTGAAGGCATTAGGAAGGTGAACATTTCTAGGTGGCTTCTAGATGTCTTTTTTTTCTTGCATGAATCAGATCCACAAAACTTTGCTTTTGGAAATGGTACTGGTATACCGATTTCTACTGTAGATTTCTGTATCCAGAACTAGGCATTCCACTTGTTGCTAAACCCAGTAGGGAAAATGAGATCCTCCCAAAGGAATTCATTTCTCTGGAATTGCCATCCTTTTTCTTAAACTTGGCTGTAGAATATCTTCATGATTTATGATGACTCTGTTGCATTCAAGTGCCCTTTGAGCAATGTGGGTGATTGAGGAGTTCTGCTTCACGTCCAGTGGTTTTAAGAATACGAAATGGTACTGTTCAGGTAGTCCTTGACTTACAACCATTCATTTAATAATCACTCAAATTTACAGCAACTGTTGCAGCATCCCCATTGTCCCCTGATCAAAATTTGGGTGTTTTGCAGTAGGCATGTAATTGTAATGATTGCAGCATCCTGGGTTCACATGATTGCCATTTGCAACCTTCCCAACCATTTTCCAACAAGCAGTCAATGGGGAAAGCTGGATTCGCTTAATGACCACTTCATTTACTTAACAGCAGCACTTAACAATCATGGCAAAAAAGGTCATAAAATCAGACACAACTCACTTAACAACCACCTTGCTTAGCAATGGAAATTCTCATCACAGTTGAGGTCACAAATCAAGGACTACCTGTAATTTCCGCAGATTCAGACATCCAGTGTTATTCTTCTGTTAGAGAATTCAATGGAAGCAATGGAATTCATCATGCATTCAGTTAGGATAGCTATCATGTCTATTTGCTAATTATTTATGCCACTTGCATCACTTCCAATTTTAAATCCCTTTTAACAATAACTTCATTATTAGAAGTTATTGTTAAAAGGGACTTAAAATTGGAAGTGATGCAAGTGGCATCTGTTTTTAACTCATTATTAGAGTTAAAAACATAATATTCCATAATGAAGAAAAAGTAAATCAAAAGATAAATCGTAACCAAATAATTATTGATGTTCATTCTCATCCCAATATGTGTGATGCCACCTCCTTAGGGGTTAACATCTTACATAATCCCTGTTGGCCCTCTGGAAGACCCAAGTCTTCACTGCCAGGACACCTAATAGCAGTGGTTCTCAACCTGGGGGTCGCGACCCCTTTGGGGGTCGAACGGCCATTTCATAGGGGTCGCCAAAGCCCTCTCTCCCCCCCCACGCCTTCACTCACCCTCACTCTCTGCTCTGTTGGATCGCCGGCCGTTCGCTTACCCCGCCCACTCCCAATCTATTGCTGCCTCCGATGGCTAGAGGAAAAAAAACTGTTTAAATTCTTGCCGCGGGGCTTCAAAGGGCCGCCCTATAAGTGGTGCAGCCGAACCGTTTGTTAAATTGCTGGCTTGCCCCGCCCCTCCGCACCACTATTTATTGCCAATAAATAGTGGTGGGCGAGGGGCGGGGGAGCCAGCAATTTAACAAATGTTTCGGTGTTTTTTTGTAATTTTATTGGCCCCCGGAGTTTCAGCATAGGCTAATTAGCCCTTGCTTAGATGGGCTCCCGACCCCCAGCTGATTTGCTCTCAGCTGTTTTGCTCAGAGCTCTTTTGCTTGCTTGGAAAGAGTGCAGATTTTTTTTCTCCTAGCTATACTGAAAAACGAAAGAGAAAGTAAAGCAGGCTGTTGGCTTTGCACGTTGGAAAATTAGGCAGGCAGATTTCTTTTTCCTCACCAAAAAAGGTAGGTGCAAACAACGGGAAATTTAGGGCATAAGAGGAGATTTTAAAACACAAAAGAAAAAAAGCTCTATTTAACTAGGGAATTGTAATAATTGAGATACTATTAATTGTATATTGTGTTGAAAGCAGAAATGGTTAAGTTGTGGTTTGGAGGAATATATGGGGGAAATTATTTGATTTATTATTATTGGTAAATATAATTAATTGATTTGTAAGAAATTGGATTGCATGGAAATAATTGGAATATTCATGTTCATATTGATTAATATACAAAAAAGGTAGTTATATAACTAATTGATTTATATTAAAATGTTGAATTCATATTAAACAACTGTAATATTACATAATTAACCAATGTGAGGATGGATATAAAAATAGATGACAATGGGAAGGGGTATAATATAGAATAGAAGGGAAAAATTGAATTTGATTAAGATTAGAGGTGAGGATGAAGGGTAATATTGGTTTTTTACAAAAATAGATGAGGAATAAATATGGCAAAAAGGAAATATAGAAATTGTAAATTTAATTGAAATGACTAAACACTGTTTAAATTTATGAACCGGCCAAATACTCTGTTCAAAGAAAATACATTGTGTGTTTGTATGTGTGTTTCTAATTATTGTTATTTATTCATATTTGTTCTCTTTTATTCTTTAAAGTTTAACAATTCATTCTCTATCTTAATATCTTTATATTTGTTTGGGGTTGGCTTTCTTCCCTTTCATCTTTTTTATTGTACAGCAATCTTTCTCAAACCTACCACCTCTCTCTTTTCTTTCCTTCTTACTTTCTCTTCCTCACCCTCTTCTTCTCCTCCCTACTTCCTCTTCCTTTCTCCTTCTCCTCCTCTCTTCCTCCCTCTCTTACCTTCACTCCTATTCTAATTTCCCTTCCCTTCCTTCATCCCTCTCTATTGCTGTATCCTTTTATGCATATGGTCTACTCAGAGGGCTGAAAAAGTTATTTCTGACTGGTCCTCGCACTTTTGACCAGTCTTCAAACATATGACTGTCCTCACATTTTACGTTTTTGCCCTATCTTGTCACCATGGTGAACAGAAGCAGTTGTGAAATGAGTGACACATTGTTAAGAATGCTACAATGGGCATAAATGATGACCAGTCATAAGTGCGAAGACCGGTCAAAAGTGCGAGGACCTGTCAGAAATCACTTTTTTCAGCCCTCTGGGTAGTCCTTTTGTGCATATGGACTACTCAGAGGGCTGAAAAAGTTATTTTTGATTGGTCCTCGCACTTTTGACCAGTCCTCGAACTTACGACTGTCCTCACATTTTACGTTTTTGCCCTATCTTGTCACCATGGTGAAGAGAAGCAGTTGTGAAATGAGTGACATGGTTGTTAAGAATGCTGCACGGGCATAAATGTGAGGATGGTCATAAGTGTGAGGACCAGTCAAAAGTGCGAGGACCTGTCAGAAATGACTTTTTTCAGCCCTCTGAGTAGTCCCTATACACATAGCCATGGCCACCCGGTCACATGACCAGCTAGCCACACCCACCCAGTCACATGACCTCCAAGCCACGCCCACAAAATAAGCCACACCCACAGAACCGGTAGTAAAAAAATTTAGAACCCACCCCTGGTTGGGGGTCACCACAACATGAGGAACTGTATTAAAGGGTCGCGGCATTAGGAAGGTTGAGAACCACTGCCTAATAGGGATGGGGCTGTTCTTCTTTCTGAAAGTAGGCTTTTCCCAGATGGATGGAGCTACTACCAAGGATCCCCCTTGGGATCCCAGAACATAACAATTCCTCAAACCAGGATCCATTCAAGCCCTGCCTCCTCCTTACCCTATACTCCATGCAATTGGTGGTCTTGAACATAGGTTGAATATAAGAATATGTCCTAAGCCATGACGGGCTTTGAAGATAAACAATCAGCTGCTTGAATTATACTTGGAACCCAACTGGTATGTTCCGGGGTGAAATCCAGCAGGTTCTGACAGGTTCTGGAGAACAGGTAGTGGAAATTTTGAGTAGTTCGGAGAACCAGCAAATACCACCTCTGGCTGGCCCCAGAGTGGGGGGGGGAATGGAGATTTTGCAGTATCCTTCCCCTGTCACGCCCACCAAGCCATGCCCACAGAACCCGTAGTAAAAAAAATTGGATTTCACCACTGGTATGTTCCCATAGAAGTAGCAAGTGAACAATGTTGTGCCTTTTATTCCCAGGCTGCTGCATACTGGACCAACTGCAATTCCAAATGGTCTTCAAAAGCAGCCTCATGTAGACCAAACTGTAATAATCCAAATGGGAACCAATGGGTCTGACTGTCAGCAAAATGCCCTGCTCCCCAAAAGCCTGCAGGTCATATGCAAGATGCACAAAGTGTTCTGTCCCCATCTCCACACACACACACACACAGCCAGCCGAGGGTTAAAGGAAGCACTTGGCACGCACACAGTTTGTTATCAGAAACTTGGCAGCAAGACGAGCACCGACTGCCAAGTGCTTTTACTTCAATAAACGGGAGTATCCCTTCACCATATAAACAGAAATACACACAGTTTGCAAATAGTCCAGTTCAAAACAAGAAACCTTCGGCAGATTTAGGCGTTGTTCAAAGTGACTAGCCAGGGTTAGTTTTTATCCGTCACAGAGTGTTAAATAGCCACCACACTCTCTTATATAGTCTCTGGGGTGTGGTCCAGTGACTCAGCCTAATCCCTGGCACACCTCCTCAACTGCTGCAACCGTTTATCACGCCTTTGTTGGCGTGGATCCAGGAACGACAGATCGCCTCCATCGCTATCATCGGAGACACCTGGCTCCTGGCTAATCTCCTCTTCCTCGGCCGGCACCTGAGGCAGTGCCAGAGAGGAGGGGCCTGGAGAGGGAGGCCTGGCCGACTCCTCTCCTTCATGTTCGGAGCCTTCTCCCTCCGATAAGATAGGCTTGGAGGGCGGAGCCACAACACAAAGGCTCTCCTAGTCATGACTTTTATCTGCTCTTTGAGCGGGAATCATGAGTCCAAGGGGACCCACAGGTTGCAAACCGGTTCTACATGGGGCAGCGCTGTCACATATGTAAATGCCTAATATATTTGCTTCTGTACATAATTGTAGTTACCTCCCATTTTTGTGTACATCATCCCCAAAACCACTCCTACTTACCCTTGACCACTCCTCCTTTGTATATATATCGAATCCTTACAGACTCTTGTGTCCTTTTCTGCACATTCTGTAAGAGATCAGATGTGAATAAATGATTACTATTATCATAACAGACTCTGAGTAATTATTGGGCAAGATCCTCGATTTCTAACAAATATGGTAGCAGAGGATGGTTGGCAGCCCAATTAAATCCGGATATGTCTGAAAACAACGAAATTCAAAAATCCAAAAGAAAAAGAAATAACACCCGGGCCTGCACCCAAAAGATGGCAGCCCAACTCTCACCAGAGATCAACGCATCAAAGGAAACTTCAACAAAAGAAAATGAAAAAGAAAACCTTGTTGAAACCTCTCCAAGCAAAGAAGACCGCCTAAAAAGAAACCTGCTAGAAATGATTAACAACACACCAGGTGAAGAAGATTTGATCGTGAAACTCCAAGATCTAATAAAAGACTGTGGAGCAGCGACCAAGAACAACAAACCTGAACCAGAACCTGAACCCGAAGACCTCAATCCGGTAAGAGAATCCTCCATTTGTCTAACACCCACCAAACTGACAGAAACGACTTTCGCGCCCTTTTCGCGGTGGCCATCTTACCCAGAAATATTAAATAAAATGGCCGACCAATCAGGGAGGGAATCTCCCGATTCAAATACTAAAGCGGGAACGAGGGCCTACTCACTAGAAAACCTATCGGACAGTGATGATAGGAGCGAAGAAGAAAACTACAATCCTACTAAAAAACCACCAAGCAGAAAAGAAATAGAAAAGGCCATGCAAATCATAACAGCTGCCTTTGGTGAAAATGTAAAGCTAATAAATAAAAACCCAAACATCTCTAAAAATAAAGTAAAAGACTACCACGCTGAAACAGACCCTACCAAAGCCTGCCTAAGAAACTACCACGACCATATGCCTACGCTACAATGCTGGGACGCACTCGAAAAACAAACAGCAACCACACCGATTCCAAAAGGGCGAGAAAAATACTTACCAGTCCTGCTGGCACCGAAGAGTCATCCCGACCCAGCGACTGATGACATCCTCGGTGCACTCCCCATCGGCAGACGAGACGCAGAGCCGGGCCTCCCTGATGTCCAGCACCTCGCCGCAGATCTTCATCATCAGATGATGGTCCGGAGGGATGTCCTGGAGAGCCACGCGAAGATTCCGGACCCTTTCGGTCTCCCTGAGGCTTCCGGACCAGATCCAACTGTCTACCCAGGCGAGTGGGGCCTGCAATCAAGAGCTCCGGCGCAGAGGTCCTTCCTCGACGACTGCAGAGCACAAATGAGAGCTGAGCATGTGCAGAAGGAACCTCCTATTAAACAAGAGAGAGACATAGATGTAAGTCACTACAGACTGCCTAACTGTATTCCAATGCCATATTGTGAGTTCCCTCACGTTGTAAACCATGGACAGCGCCTGCCTGTAAGTAATACACCATATAATACTGGAACTCTACCTATTGATTTTCCCAAACTTAAAATTGATGGAACTAATTTACTAGAATGGAACCAACAATTGCAAATTATTTTTTTAAAAGAAAACATTTTATTTCTAATCAACAATCCACCAAAGAAACCCTGGTCTTTTGAGCTGGACTGTCTACATCACAGGGCTTTCTATTTATTAATTGCTAGTATATCTCCTTGTATTTACCCCAGTCTCTGTGACCACCTAACTGTAACTGAACTAATACAAAAACTGTTTAATTTGTTTTACAGCAGAAGTAGGGCATCAACCACCAGAATCTCCAGCGAATTTTATTCCTCAAAACTGAAAATAGGTATGTCTATGAGTGAACACTTGCTTGCACTTAACGCTACTAGGGCAGAATTAATTCAAAGAGGTGAGAATATAACAGATGAAAGTATGAAAAATATAATTATTAATTCTTTAGATCAAAGCTGGGACAATTTCATATCTCAGTTAGATAGTCTCAACATAGAGCACTTGATAGTGGAAAACCTAGCTAGCAAACTAATTACAGAAGACAATTTAAGAAAGGATAGAAACATGTCACGTAGAGGATACAAAACAGATAAAAGGCCACTCACTGTAGACAGATACAATCATCACCCTGAATGTTACTTATGTGGGTCTAAGAATCATTATAGAAGGGATTGTCCCAAAGCCAATCGAAGTAAAGATCATAATTATCATGGAGACAGAGCAGAACATAGATATAGACATTCTCCAGAACACAGATTTAGACGTAGAGACTCCCCAAACCCCAACAACAGGAAAGAACGTAGAAACACCTCCAAAGAGAGATACTCAGGATCACTATACGGGCTCACAAAATGGGGATACAATAACAAATACATCAAAAGGGAAAACCTCTGGTTAATCGATTCGGGCGCAACCAACCACACCACATATGATGCTAGTCTATTATCTTCATTTGTCAATGAAGATTCCACAATCAAAGTAGCCAATCAAACTAATGTCAAAGCAATTGGAAAAGGAAATATAATCTTACCAGAAATTGGCAAAATAAACACCAATCAACATCTCACCAATACTCTCACAGCACCAAATCAAACAACTGATGACAATGCAAACAATGACAACCAACCAAAAACTCAAAATGATAAGCCCTCCATAGGGAAACTATTACATGATGATTTTTTTTATTGAAAAAGTTTTTCAAATACAATTTCCCCCCCTTTTCTTCCCATATTAGGGTAACATCAAATTCTAGTTCCAACAGCATGTTCAGTATCTTCAATTACCATCTGCCCCCATCAATAATAAATGTTTTCGTATATAAAAAAACCACCCGAGTGACCTTATATTTATATTCCATATAGTGTCTTCTGTAATGTCTTCCATCTAGATTATTAATTCCAACCACCATGTTAGGGTAACAACCAGATCTTCTGCATGCCCCAATCCCATAATTCTCTTGCCTTGTAGCTCAGCATAAACGTAATCCATTTGTCAAAGAGTCCAAAATAGAAAGTTCCAATCCACTCAATTTAAGGCCATCTTCCACATCCCAAAAGTACAGCACTGCAGAGATCTGTTACTCTCCTCAAAATAATATAAACCAATACTTTGCCTCAACTATATTTTCATGTATTTAATTGTCTCTTAAGTAACTGGCATTACACTGTTGTTTACTCTAAAAAATTTTATTTTTGTAGGACCTGCTTCTTCTTTTCTTAACTTTTTGTGGTTTAGATCTCCATCCTAGTTTCCTTTCTATGAGTTGTATATCAACTGATTGATTTCCCTGCTGGTCTGTAACTTGATAAGTCATCACATTAGAATCCAAAGCCGCCTCTCTTGTATTTATAGGTAATCCAACTATAACCTCTGAAGGAGAATCCAAAAGCGGCTCGTCCACAAAGGCCTCTGTAACTTGTTGTTTTTCCCTTATCTCCACCTCCATCTGCTTAGCCTGAATTTCAATCTCTTGTTGATTTTGCTTTTCTTTATTCCCCTCGTGTATTATACATGGAGATGTTGAACCCATTTTAAGAACCTTATAGTAAAATTCTTCCGCTTTTTCAACAGTATTTAGTTGATATCTTTCTCCTTGATATCTCAATATTATACCAACTGGAACATCCCACCTAAATGGGATGTTTTGTTTCTTTAGCTCAGTCACCAAAAATCCAAAATCCTTTCTATCTTTTAACATCTTGGGCGGCAGCTCTTTAAATATCCAAATCTTCCTTCTATGCATTTCAAGAGTGGAGTTAAAAGACTTTTGCACAATGTCATTTCTTATTTCTTTATCAGTAAAGTAAATCACCACATCTCTAGGCAACTGCCTTTGCTTTGCCACCCAAGAATTAACTCTGTAGGCCTTGTCAATCTTGCAGGATACCTCTTCAGAACTAACCTTTAAGATCCCAGCCAGAACTTCAGCAGACACCTTTCTCAAATCTTCTCTTTTATTTTCCTGTATTCCCCTAATTCTAACCGCAAATTCCATAAATCTGAATTGCATTATTGTGGCTTCATTTTCAATCCTTTGTTTTATATTATCTACATTGTGAGTCTTGTAGTCAGCTTCCTTTATTTTTTTAAACTCTACTTCTGAGCTTTTTTCTTGAATCATTATTAAATCATTTTCAATTCTTTGCATTTTATTATCCAAATTATAAATCTTATCATCAACTTCCTTCATTTTAGACTCTATTTTTGAATTTATAACTTCATCCATCTTCATAATTACTTCTAAGAAACTGTTCATATGTTGCTTCAGAATATCATACTTTTGTTGAATCAACTCTTTAATTTCCTGTCTAAAATTTTCAAGGTTCTGATTCACAATCTTATCATGTCTTGCCATCTCCAGTACAAATTCCTTTAGGTCTGTGAAGCCATTCTTCTGCATCTGCAAGCTCACAACTTGTTCATGTGATTTATAAATGGGGGAGCCCCCCCCCCACAGCTTGGTTATCTGGCTTTGTCAGTTTTAGCGCCATCCTGCCACACAATTTTTTTTTCCTTTTAAAGAAAAAGACTTCTCTCCAAACAATATCAATAACAAATCTCTAAGAAGGAAGAGGCATGAAATAAGAATTTTTCTCTTCACTTCTAACCAGCACTTTTGTTAGATACTTGGTAACGTAATAAACTATTCAAACAGAAGGACTTTCGCTTTCAGCTTTTCTCAAGCCTCGGCCAGTCGCCATTTTAAACTCTCGTTTTTCCTCCTTTCACTCTTCTTTACTTTTAAAATCAGTCTTGGGGTTAGAAATACTTGCAGTTTAGGATCCCAGATCCGGATTTCATCCTGCTTGTTCAGATGATCTGTTAGTTTCGTTAATTGGTCCGGTCCCATTGCCTGGCTCTGCAAAACGCAGAGTTCTCCCGAAGCCCGGAGCAGCGGCGAGCGGAAATAGGGAGCCACAACCTGCTTCGTCCCCAAGAGTAAAAAAGAACTCTGGGGACTTCGCAGAGGGCTCTACCTGCCCTCGCCGGCTCTGTCTCACATTTCCTTTAGGAAATGGAGTTTTTCGAGCCGCCTTTCAGCTGTAAAGGCGGCTCTTTATGGGCGACGGGGCTGGCGGTCTCAAAAGACTGTCTGACAGCGACAGAAGCCAAACCGGAAGCCCGAAACTATTACATGATGATTGTGCACATCTCCTACATAGGAAATTAGATCATATAAGTTTCCCCACAGTACAAAAAATGAAAGAATATACTAATGGTTTAAAAATAAAGAATTGTGACAATTATCTCGAGTGCTCAATTTGTAAGTCTGCCAAATTAAAAACAAAACCCAGACCTAAAAAATCAGTGCGTACCACTGATTCAGTCTTTCAATTGATACATATGGACTTAGTAGGACCATTCAAACCTTCCATAAAATACAAGAAAAGATTTTTTCTAACCATAGTCGATGACTACAGTCGCTATGGATTTGTATACACAATTAAACACAAAAGTGAAGTCTTTCACAAATTTAAAGAATTCTACAAACGGGTTGAAGTTCAACATAATACAAAAATAAAACAAATTATGACCGACAGAGGGTCAGAATTTTTATCCAAGGATTTTTCTAGATGGCTTAGGGAACAGGGAATACTTCATTACACATCTTGTCCATTTTCGGCCTTTCAGAATGGTATTGCAGAAAAAAAGAATGGGACATTACAGGTAATGATGAGGTGCATACTAGAAGATGCTGGACTAGGAAAGGCATTCTGGTCAGAAGCCGTCCTATATTCTAACTATACAATCAACAGATTATGGTCCAGCACAATAAATTCAACTCCTTACGAGTTAATGTATAAAAGAAAACCCAGTATATCTCATTTACATATTTTTGGAGTCACAGCTGACGTCCTCATCCCCAAACAAATTAGGAGAAAAGGAGACAAAGTATCCAAAAGACTCAGATACATGGGGTACGAATCTGGCACCAAAGGATATAGATTTATTGACAACCAAAACAACTTCATAATCTCCAGGTCAGCCACATTTCATGAACACACTAATTGGTCCAAGATTCACCTAAACGAGATAACTCACACCGCACACAACACAAACAATCAATTAGATCCAGATAGTACAAATCATAACACACAACCAGTAATCAAACCCAAACACAAAGAGATTGATACTAAAGATTGGAAAGAAAATCACCCATCATTGAAATTGACACTCTCTCTGATAAAGAAGCAAGATACCTACATGAGTCTATAACACCTGAGAACAGACCTATCAGAGAGAGCAGAAACAAAAAACCTAGTAAATACAATGATTTTATCATGTCAATACATACTGAAGAATATACCACTACTTCATATGAAGAAGTAACGAAACTACCTCATGAGGAGAGAAATAAATGGGAAATAGCCATGAAAAAGGAACTAAATAGTCTAAAAGAACTAGATGTATACACCCCCTCACCAGTACCTAATGATAAATCTCCAATTGGAACAAAATGGATATATAAAATAAAGACCCTAGATAACAATAAAACCATATATAAAGCTAGATTAGTTGCCCAAGGATTTGCCCAAAAATATCCTGAAGATTATACGGAAACCTACTCTCCTACAGTAAGAATAGAAAGCGTAAAATGTGCCTTAGTGATTGCTTCAATCTTGAAATTAGATGTATATCAATTCGATGTTCAAACTGCCTATCTGCATGCCAAACTGGACAAGAAAATATATGTTAAAGCTCCTCCTGGAATATACCCACTAGAAGGCAACACATGGCTATTAAATAAAAGCCTATACGGACTGAAACAATCTGGAAAACAATGGTACGATAGTTTGTCCACCATACTAAAATCAATAGGATTCTCCCCCACTCATGCTGATATGTGTTTCTTTTATAAGAAAAACAAGGATTCTACAGAATATGTTCTCATATATGTTGACGATATTTTATATATAGGGAACCAGAAACAAAAATGTGAGATCTTTGCTCAGGAATTGAACAAACATTTCTCTCTAAAATCCCTAGGAAAAATAAACAAGTACCTAGGAGTTCACATCACACAAACACAAAAGGGATTCCAATTATGCCAAGAAGAAAAAATATTAGAATTAGTGAAAAAATGTAATATGAATGAAGCTAAGTACTGCGAAACCCCTATGCACCCTGATTTTGTAAAGAACATGCATAATGAAAACGATCCTTTCACTAACAACAAATTATATAGGTCAACAATAGGTTCTTTATTGTATATAGCTAATTGGACCAGACTTGATATAGCATTACCTGTCAATTTACTATCCAGATATGTAAGCAATCCTACTATTTATCATTGGGAAGCGGTTAAAAAAATCATTAAGTACTTGAAACATAGTTCAGGAGCATCTCTAAGATTAGAGCCAAGTAACTCATCAATACCCACACTCTCATGTTATGCTGATGCTGATTGGGCAGGTGATGTAAAAACTAGAAAAAGCACTTCAGGGTATATCCTCTTTCTCAATGGTTGTCCCATCCATTGGTATACAGGAAAACAAAATCTAGTTGCTACATCTACTACTGAAGCTGAGTTTGTGTGTTTGTCAAAAGCAGCAAATAACCTCATATGGTTTGACAATTTATTAACTACAATATGGAATGAACCCAATTATCCCATCATCATTTGTGAAGATAATAAAGCTGCCATAGAAATCTCCAAATCAGATGCAGTGGGTCAAAGATCCAGACACATCGATATTAAGAATAAGCATGTAAGGCAGTTGTCTAATATTGGATTTCTAAAAACTGTTCATTGTGAAACTAGTGAGCGAATAGCAGACATACTTACGAAACCCTTACCTAACAAGCAGCATTCATATTTAAGGTCAAAGCTCAACATACAACTATCTTAGGCATTTAGAGGGGGTTCTGTCACATATGTAAATGCCTAATATATTTGCTTCTGTACATAATTGTAGTTACCTCCCATTTTTGTGTACATCATCCCCAAAACCACTCCTACTTACCCTTGACCACTCCTCCTTTGTATATATATCGAATCCTTACAGACTCTTGTATCCTTTTCTGCACATTCTGTAAGAGATCAGATGTGAATAAATGATTACTATTATCATAACAGACTCTGAGTAATTATTGGGCAAGATCCTCGATTTCTAACAAGCGCAGCCCTATTCAGAGCTAACGATGGACTCCTGCTGAAATCCCCTGCTTCTGAATCAACAGCCATTCTATTTTTGCTGGAGTTAGGTCTAAATCTGTTTCTCCCCTCGTGGAAGCAGAAGAGAACCCCAAATATATCTTCTGTTTAGTCCAGGAAAGATATACACATGTGGCTATCATTAACATAGCCATAGCAATAGCACTTGGATTTATATACCGCTTCATAAGTGCTTTACAGCCCTCTAAGGGGTTTACAGAGTCAGCGTATTTCCCCCAACAATCTCATTTTAGTCCTAATTTTACCAACCTCGGAAGGATGGAAGGCTGAGTCGACCTTGAGCCTGGTGAGATTCGATCTGCCAAACTGCTGGCAGCTGGTGATCAACAGACATAGCCTGCAGTACTGCACTCTAACCACTGTGCCACCGCGGCTCTTCTATCTAACATATCGATGATGCTTCCACCCAATGAAGTGGGTGGCCTCCACCAGCAATTTCTATAGGAGAGAGGATTAAGCATTGCAGCGTTCTACAAAACAAAGCCCACACGTTTGACCTCTCCCTCTGCACCACCAAATGGAATCACCCATGCAGGAAGGAAGAAAACGGGATAAGGCCAATCCAGAAAGATATCATAAGTGAAGATATTAAAGGCAGCTGGGAGATTCAGCAGGGCCAAGAAAGTTACTTTCCCACACCAGTCCTGCCACAGATCACCAACCAATGCCAATGCCAGTGTTCTCCAGCCAAAATCTCAAATGAGAAGAATCCAGGGAATCCATTTCATTTTAAATTACCAGCATTACATTTTTATTTTTAATAGATCTTTTAAGGCTAGTGCATTTTAATGCAAGGCATTGTTAATATATTTTCATTAAAAAATATTCCCTAATAGTCAAATGCAATTCAATTTATAGCTTAACAGCTGAAGAATATGAATGTTGTAATTATTTTTTTAAAAAAATTATAATTCCTTGATTTTTAATTCCTTTGTTTTGTTTTGTTTTCTGTATTTTAAGTCACCTAGACTCTAGGACTAAGCTTTCCAACTGATTGGAAAGAAATATATGCATGCATACTGATATTTTTAGCGTCAGCGCAGCCTGACAGCGTTTCAATTTTTGTCTCCCTTGATACATAATTGTATTGCCATTATCTTTTTAATTTGTAGAACTACAAAACAAAAGCAAAACATGTGAATACATATAAAACAGAACATTTAAAAACTCAGATAAAACGAACTAGCAACAATGAAGACGAAAAGCTAAATCAAAATGAAATCAAATACAGCAATCAGATACAATACTAAGTACATCAATGGAAAAATTACTACTGCTCAGTTTTTAAACAATGAACAGAACCCAAACTGCATAGAATCCTATTGTCCAGTCTTCCGGTCAAAGAGACAGCCTATTCAAAGGTTGAAATGAGTCATTTAATCAATCCAGCCTTTGGCATCTGTATTCAAGTGTCTTTCCAGGAACATACAGTATAATAATCTTCGTGGCCCCATCTCTGGGCCTTACAGTGGCCCATATTATTCATATTGTATTTATTTGTAAAATGTATATCCTGTACTTTCACTGTTTTCCTGACAGTTGCAAAGCAGGGAGCAATGTTACAGCTTCTTATTTATTCCTAGGGATGGGATGGTGATGAATAGCAATAAATAGCTTCTAGCTAGAATTAGAATCGTTGGCCAGCAGTTCTCATCTTTCCTAGCAAGAACAAGCAAGTTACAAGAATAACTTTGCTTAATATCTGTCTGTCCTTTATCTGCTTTATTACAGAGCCTACAGAAGGGATTTGAAGACGCCATCCCTCTTTCACCTCAAGACAAAACACCACACTGGACCCATCTCCTATTGCCTTCTGTGGGATCTGTCCCTAAGAGACCACCTCCCCGTATCAATTTGGCAACATCACAGCCTCTTTTCCTTGGATGCCCAGTAGGACTGATTGTTGTCTGAATTGGCAGGTCCTTTCCTCTTGTTTCCACTTTATGAAACTGTTCCAGGAAATGGAAAAGAAGGGCAGTTCTGGAATCCTCCAGGGAAATTGCAGACCCCAGTAAGATGGATTTCATAGGTTTGTAACTATTGACTGCATCAGATTGAGAGTAATTCCATTTACTCTCTGGTTGAGATGCAAAGAAAATAAGCCTTTATATGTTTAGTCCTATTAGTAGAAAATGGCAGCAAAGTGCAAAGGGCCCCCCCGGACCTTCTCTTTGGGGCGTCTGTTTGCCTTGCAGACTCCAGGTGCTTGCATCCAGAGTTTCAAATAAGAATCCACTGTTTTGAAATCTAACAAATAGGACTTTTTCAAAAGTTTGTAACTTTTGAAGAGTTTGAGTTCCACCCCATGAAAAGGTGTTTGAAATTTCACTAAGCCATCTTAAATACCCATTTTTGATAAGTTATTATTTTTTAATAAAGCAAGCGCTTAAAAGGCATCCTACATTGGTAACTTTTTCTACACCATTTATTTTCTCCCCTAATCTTATCTCTCTTAGGGGGAACCTCGGTCTTTAAAAAAGGCACCAGGTTACGGAGTAGGGTTATGTGTATGTTCAGTCATTGTGAGCAAATAGAAAAAGTGAGTTTGGGTGGTCATGAGCTACTGAAACTTCCAGATTAAGGAAAACTTTACTGAATTAGACTTCCAGGGCTCAGAGGTAAAACTCTACTGCCAGGCAAAATTCATTACCCTGGCCTATTTTGTAAAATTTTTTAAATATAAAAATAGTAAACATAGCAAACTTTTATATAAAATATGCAAATTCATATACTTGATGATGATGTTATCCATTCAGTCGTGTCCAACTCACGGCAATTCTGTGGGCCAGGTTTCCCCACATCTTCCGATCTTGCACTATTTGAGGGTATTTTTATGCTCTGGCTGATGTCAGCTTTGATGATGTCCAGCTACTGTGTTCTTCAGCAGTCTGTTTTCCTTTCCCCACTTAACTCTTCCAAGCATAATTACTTTCACCAGTGAATTACCCACCGCATGACATGGCCAAAATAAGTGACACAGAGTTTTGTGATTTTGCCTTCCAGTGACATGTATGGGTTATGCACTCATATACTTGTTAAAGGCCATTTTTTTTCCCAAAGAAGAGAACTTGGCTTACCTTGGTGCTGATTTCTGGGTATTTTTTAATAATTATTTTGGTGTAGTGCAGAATACAGCCTTGGCTAGGGCCTCAGTGATCTATTAGGAGACACATATGCGGCCTGATTTTCTTCTGGGGAATGTATATCATTGCCTTAAGCTTAGAACACGTTGTCTGCATTGGCAGGAAAGATAGAAGAGAAAGGAGAATGTCTACTGCCATCTCTCGTCCAATTCTCTCCTGTTGGACCTTGGGCAGCTTGGTTTTATTTTGTGCTTGCTGGAGAAATAAAATAGTTGAAAATGCAAATAAATGATATCTGAATTAGTATGAAGTCTGTTTACTTGATGTCTACTACCATAATTTTTTCGTGCAATCTTGTCTGTAGAGAATTGTTTATAATTAAAGGGATTTGTGAAACTTCTCCATCTAGGACAGGGGTGTCAAACTCAACGCCCAGGAACCAGATACAGGCTGCAGGGTGCTTAGATCTGGCCTGCGGGGCCACTCTGGAAACCGCGAAGAACCGGCCCACAGTGTCTCTGTCAGTGAAAATGGAGGCTGTGTGTGGCCCTCCTGAGCTCTGTTTTCACTGGCAGAGGGTTGCAGGAGGCCGTTGCAGCCAAAAATGGAGCTGGCAAAGGCTGCAGGTGGCCCTCCAAACCTCCGTTTTTGCTGGCAGAGGGGTGTAGAAGGCCGTCGCAGCCAAAAACAGAGCTCGAGAGCCTGTTTTCACTGGCAAAATGATCAGGCCATCACAGGTGCCCCCAACACGAGTGACGTTGAGCTGGCCATGCCCCTGACCACGCCCACCCCAGCCCCCCAAGATTAAACACAACCCTGATGCGGCCCTAATGAAATCAAGTTTGACACCCTTGATCTAGGAAAAGGAGCCTGTGTCAGCTTTGGAAGCCATATTAGGGCTGGGGTTTTCTGGAACGCTGACAGCCTGGCTTAATAATGCTTGTCCGTATAAGGTCTAAATTATGGCACTATGTGTTTCTCTGACTTTCTCTCATTTTACATTTAAATAGAAGTGATTTGGCTGTCAATGTACACAAGTGCTGCATCCACAAAATCACCAAGAATTTGATCAAGTAAAGATCTTCAGTCAGCAACTAAGTAGTACAAACATACCATCAAAAGCAAGTTTCTCTGCATCTTTAGTGTGTAATCGCTGTATTTCCATGTTTTGGGAATTCTACCAAATAAGTAGCATCTCACAAATCACAACTTTCATTTATTTAAAGTAAAGTTTCTATTTGTTACATCTACTTTGATTAATTCAAATCTCTGCAGATTCTGCTACTCAATCTTCCCAAAACCAGCTGCTGTTTTTCACCAAGGGTATATTTGGCACACTTGGTAGAAGAGTCAAATCCAAAATGTTTTACTTCTGAGTAGCAAATTATAGTTTTTTAGGGAGAGGATAACTCATAGCATTTTTTTTTTCTTCAGTGATGGATTAGAGCTTAGTAACCAGAGTTGTTTGTTTTTGCTTAAGTACAATGAATAACTATATCCAGCTCTTGTCTAAGATAGGACATGAAGATGAACATAATATTCATGGTTAACTCAGCCTTCCATCCTTCCGAGGTCAGTAAAATGAGGACCCAGATTGTTGGGGGCAATATGCTGACTGTGTAAACCTCTTAGAGAGGGTTGTAAAAGCACTATGACGCGGTACATAAGTCTAAGTGCTGTTGCTATAATACTATGTTGTGTTTCTACATGTGCAACCTTTGGTCCCCAAATTCCCCTTTTGGCCAACCTCCCCAAACCCAATCTAATCATGACAGCTGAAAGTGGGTTTATTTTTCTGTTGTGTTGACATCTGAAACCAATGAAACCTACGGTATATGCCCTAAATTAGGTGTACCAAGTTAAAAAAAAATCCATTTTAAAAAATTTCCAATGCAGTCTTGGTTGCCAAAATATTGCCAGTCCCTACTATGTAAGCCAGGGATAATCAACAAGGTACCCTATTGGTTTCCAGACAATAGGTTCCATAGTCGTTATCACCCAAAATATTTGGAGGGTGCCATTTTGTCCACTTCCACTAGAGGCTGCGGTAATGAGAAAATCACTCCCCTTTGCCCACTGCACTGTAACACCCATGTCCCTTTGTTCCTTAGGTTATCTTTTCTACTTTGCTTATTAATATTTAACACACTGTAATGATCCACTGCAATACAAAAAATGTTTTTTTCATGAAGTTTATTTCAATTTCATTTAAATTAAAAATCTTAATTAGAAAAAAAAATCGATTTTTTTAAAAAACTGCAAACTTTAGAAATGCACACAGTGCAGAGAGACTAGACATAGGGGGGTGGTGAGGTGAAATCACAGGTCCAGTTTGATTAGGAAGATACATTGAGGGGTTTACCCCATAGAAGACATCTTCTGCCCATGTTCCACTTCTAGCGTGGAAAGCTGGAGGACAGTTCAGCTTTACTCAGAGGTGTACACACACAATCACACACACATTGCCACCAAACACCTTGCTACCAAAGGAAGAGAATCCCAAAAGCATGAAACTGCTACCTTGCTAGAGACTTATATTAGTAATAGCAACTCGAAGGATCAAGGGCCAAAAGGATTACCCAGGAATGGTGCAAATATTCAAAAGTCACAGTAAAAAGGTCAAAACAGAAGTGCAAGGGTTCCCGGGTAAATTGCTGCTGCTTGACGCTCGCTCACGGGGCAGAGGTTTACAGGATTTGAACTTTCCAGAAGACAAAGTTAAAGCTGCGTTCAGGAGGTCACAGTTGAGAGGTCAAAAGGCCACCATGGAAAATAAACTACCACAGTTCAAAGAGCACCACAGAGAGAGACACTTCCAGATTCTTCACACACGGGTCACGTCTAAAGATCAGAGGTCAGCGTGGGGAAAAACAACTCAAATCTCCCTGAGGAAAGGTTTCAACAGAAACAGCGGTCATGATGATAGAGGTCACTTTCCGAGGAGAATCCTTGGTTAATAGGCACGGGTCAAGGAGGAAGAAACAATGGCCTTTGGCTGCAGAGGCCCCCAGACAGAATGATCGACATTTCACCATTCAGACAAGCCCCGAAGCCCGACTACGGCTGGACTGCAATAGCAAAAGCCAGGACAGCTCAGGCCACCACACAGTTCTTGTCCCGGACCACCCGCAATCTTCGGCGCTGCCGTTTGCGAGCTGTTTCACTGGGCGGCGTGACCTCTGGGGAATTGGCTCCACCACGCAAATGGGGCGGCAGGGGTATAGGCTCCCCTAGAAAGTAGCCTTCTTCCTCTGAGGATGAATCGGAAGACTCGGAAGAGCTGAAGTCCCATCCCCGGGGTGGGTAGCGCCGGTGCCAGGCAGGAAAAGCACTCTCTGAAGCTGAATAGGAGAGGTTGGCTCCCCTCCTTTCCCCCCTACCCTTCCTTGGCCTCCAGTCTTGACTCCCCAGGTTGAGCGAGTTATCTGAAGTGGAGCGAGGGTGTCCCCGGATGGCTCCCCCCTTCTGCGCCATCGGGGTCTCCAAGGAGGCTTGCTCAGGGGTGCTGGGCTCTCCTGAGATTAACGGTTCCCGGAAGCTAACTCGGGGTATTCCTCCCCGAGCAAAAGTCCCAGGCTCCCTGCCCTCGCTGAGCCGTGGCCGGGCAGAGGCTTGAATTTTGGAAGTGGAACTGCTGCTCCAGTCAGAGGTTTTGGAAGAGGGCATCCCCAGCTCCGGCATAGAGTGGCGCAAAGGGGAGGTGCGCTGGAAACGTGGCTGGAGCTCGGTCCCTGAGGAGAAACAAGATGATTAGTGTGGAGTGGGCTAAGTCTCAAAGCTAGGCGCCTTCCCCTACAAGCCCTGCACTTCCGCAGCATTCTTGTTCCACTTAGCTCTACCTCACCTGTTCCTGGTTCCTCCTGGTCAGTGGCTGGAGGCAGGCAAGTCGACGTTCCCCGGGAAGCCCGCTCCACTGGCTCCTCACAACTCTGGCTGTAGCCGGAACCATTACTGTCTGGATCGGAGAGCTCTTCCATTTCCGTGGGCACCTCCTCGTCCTCATCCCCAGGTGCCCCACTCCAGCTCCTTCGGATCCTTGGGGTGGAGTCTGACGGTACCGTCTGCCCCGCAAAGGAAACGGAGCGGGTGATGGAGGAGGGTGACGTGCCCTGGGACTGAACTCGGCGCTGCTGCCAGCTGGTCCTCCGAACATCCTGAGGACGGGTGCTTTGCAAGGCAGAGTCACAGGAATCCGAGCCGTTGGGGTCTTCGCCGAGGCTGCAGGCCCGGGAGCAGAAGATCTGACCCTGCTTGGGCAGGAAAGGCTTCCCCAGCAGGGGTTGCTGGCAACGGGAGCAGCTGAAACAGGCATCTGTGGCATGCCAGTGCTGGCCTTCGTAGGTCATCTGACCCTGGTCAATACCTGCAGGGAAGGAACAAGGCCAAACCATTGGATGGGTTTAAGCACTTTGTTTCAAAACCCACAAAAGCTGGAAGGTCATCTGCTCTTGCCAACAAAGGTGATCTATCCCACCTACAAAATGCTTTGGGGACATATCCTCCTGTATCTAGATTTTGCAAAGAGGATGAAGCAGCTGCTCTTTTTAAATGGTAAAAAGCATTCTCTAGTCAAAAGCCTGGAGGCCTGGCACGGAAGCCATGTTCTGGAAAAAGCTTTATCTTGCCTCATTTAAAGCACTGCCAAAGCCAACTCTGGGAACTTAGATTCATTTAGGAAACAACAATCAGATTTCTTTACACTCTTGTTAGAAAGTCAGTGATGGAAGAATATCTCCCCTCCATGTCCTCCTACTTGGATTCAGGCCTGTCTATTAACCTTGCACACAAAAATAAAATGAATCCTAAATCACCTGTCTGAAAACTGAATAACTAATGCCCAAATAAAATCCCTGGCCCATGCTAGTTTTGCATGTGTTCATTCATATTACATCACATCCATGACTGAATTTCTGGATGGCAGTAAGCAAAACTTGTAGAAAACCTTCCATATTGTGGAATCTCCAGGTGATATAAATGAGCAATAAACATCTGAGCTTTACATAACATGCTATAATGTGGATTGATTAACCATGATTTGTTAAAGAAGTCATTATTTCCTGGTTTCTCATACTGCATTGAACCACGATGTATGCCATAAAAACCAGAATAGTTCACATAACATTATCTTACAACTTGGTGGAATATGGGATTCTGGAGGTAACCAATGGTTTTACTTTCGGTACTGATCATAAATGTATCTTCATAACGTCAGCATGGCTTCAAGGCTGGGAATTCAAACATCTTGAAGAAGAAAATGTGGGCTTTCAGAAGACTGAAGGAGCCTTATCTTGCCTAATAACCCAG